TTGCATTATTTTGCCGAGCGCCTGATTTCACTACGCTGCCTCACAATAGAGTAAATCATTCAAGCAAAATATTGCATACACTCTTTCTTACTAATAAGAAAAAATTTGAGACTCATGTCAATGACAAAAGCGCCTTGCCTTAATTACAAATATAAACAAGTTACACTACAGTGGAATTATGATAAAGTCAACACCCCGGACAGAAAAAAAAGTGTTGACTTTGAGCAAGTTGACTTTATCCTTTGTACTACTGGCTGTTGAAAATTGAAAATGACAGCTACAAAATTACAAAGTACCTGGTAATACAAGATGTAATCTCAATTTCAGGGAATATAATTCTGAAGTTGTCGCCAAAACTAGAGATAATGAAAGACCAAAGTAATTGAAAGTGTGTACACCACTAGCTCAGACGAAATATCTCTTCTTAAATGAATTCATCTTGGGATTTAACCCCAAATTGTTGACTTTACACAAGCTTAACACTCAAGCAGTTGACTGTATCAGAAACACAATTATATCTACTTAAAATTACTTTAAGCAAAGAAGGTAAAAAACGGGACCACAGTGAGGTGTTGACTGTAAGTGTATATTGTAAGAGTTGACTTTAAGTTTAAGCAAGTTGACTTTATCAGGATTCCACTGTATCTGTTATTACTGATCATTATGCTGAAAACAAAAGGTGAATTTGTTATCATCAACTAAGGCAGTGTTCATCATTATATCAAAAATATTTTTTCACCTCACTAAAGTGTAATATTACATTAGTTCAAGACCCCCCCCCCCCTCTAACACTTTTCTTACAGGAGCCAAAGACCCCCCACCCCCTCCCAGGCGTAAGATTATATTTGAACGGCCCCTTAGGGATTTTGCTGTGGCTAGTAAATCTGTGCCTTGATCAAGAAAACTGAATTGTGAATGTTGAAAGAAAATCAGTTCAGAAACAAATAACCTTTTCAAATCTGTATAGATCTAGAGAAATTGTCAGTACCTGGTACCTGGTATGAGGATTCTAGTCTGTGACAGCAGAGCAGGGTAGGGCCGCAGATGAAGGAATCGATAGGCTTGGTGCTTGTATCGCGAAGATTGATATTCCTGAATATGCCTTCTGTCAATGGTGCGATGACGAATTGAATTATAAAAATATGAAAAAATGCCGTTTTCAAACCTCGTAAAGCACAAAATTTTTATTTCTTAACAGTTCATAAATCAAAGAAAACAAAACGAAAACATGTTGTTTCCTCAGCATTCCTTATCTTCATATATGCATTATATTCAACCTTGCCCAGGCACACACCCATTAAGGGGGCTCTCGTGGCCTAGAGGTTAAGGTGTTGGCCTCTCATTCAAAGGTCCCGGGTTCGAATCTGGGTAGCGACCGAAAAATTTTCTTCTCTAAAATTGTCTCCTTTCACCTCCTTTCCTGCTCTCTAGCAATGATCTGTTGTCTGCTTTCATTTCCACTTTCTGCCCCCACCTCCTCACGTCCTTTGCCCCTCCTCTGGGCTCCTGACTCTTTCTGCAGCCTTTCTACTGCTACTCCTTGGCTCCTCCTTACTGCTGTCTTTCTGCCACACCCCTGATCTTCTGGTAGGAAAGATCTACACCTAGCCTTCTCGGACAAGGGCGAAAAATCTCGGAGGGCCCGTGTGCAAGTTGCGCACGTTAAAGATCCCTTGGTGGTCTAAATTCGATAAGAGTAGGCTTCGGCCGCCACCCGGGCAAAATTCAAAATTTCCTACCAACTGAAAATATTAGGTGTGTCCCGCGCGCTCATATGACCTATGCAGTTGCGAGCGCCGTAAAACACTTTACAAAAACAAAAAAACAAAACACCCATTAACACAAGCACACACACACATGCACACATCCGTGTGCACACATGATGTCTTAAAAGTGTTTACCTATTTTCACGAAAAGCAAGCTCCACTTGATGGTAACTAGAGTCTACACGTACCGGGATAATGTTCATCCTTTTTTTCCTTCTTTGTCTTTGTACTACCTGATTTTGGGCCAAAATACCTGAAATTGACCCAGAATCTACCTGAAATGGGAACTTTGAGGCAGGCAGCCCTACTTCAAGGCTGGATAGCTGTGAAAACACAATATGCTTTCCCTGTTCAGCGAAGGAGTGAATCTGTGTCTAAAGTTGGACAATTTTAGGGTTTAAAAATTGGTGGGTCCAGATTAAACGAAGAATATAACAACTACAACATGAAGATCAACATCAACAAAACAGAGGCAATGAAAGTAAGCAGAAATCCAGGACCACTCAGGATACACATCAACAACAACAGTCTCAGACAGGTCCAAGAATTTAAGTACCTCAGAAGTACCGGTATATTCACAGAGGATGGGCGACTGAACAGAGAAATTGAAACACAAAGTATAAAAGGCCAATAATGTTAGTTACCAGCTTGCTCCATTACTGAAACATCCTAACATCTCCATGACGACAAAACTCAAAATGATCATCACCATATTCATCCCAACACTGACCTATAAATATGCCAAACATGGACCACGAACAAGACATTGGAGCAAAGAATTACAACATGTTAAATGCAATGTCTTAAAAAAGCAGTAAACAAAACCAGGCGAGGCAAAATAAGAAACTCAGTAGTCAGAGAAATGGTGGCCACAAATAATGTCATGCATCCCATCCAACACCAAAGAATCAAATGGTTCAGACATCTCCTGCAATTACCAACACACCATCCTGCACAACATGCCTACATAAAAAAATTCAATGGCAACAAGGTTAGAGGGCGACCGAGAAAGACCTGGATAGATGGAGTGAGGGAAACACAACTAATGGCATGCCCCTGAACTTTATTTCAAATTGTGTACACAATTGTGATTTGGTTCTTACATTTTCAAATGTAGAAGTTCATTTATAAAAATTGACAAAATGACAATTTTTTAAACATAACCAATTAAAAAATAGACCACAAAGTATTTCCCTGTTTAAAAGTGTAGCCCAAAAAAGGAACACAAAGTGCTCTATGTGTAATATCGAAGTATGGGTAGGGTTAAAAAGATGGCCAAATGAGTCAGATCTCTTTTGTCTTCCCCATGAATTTTCCTAACCTCATTAGAAAAGATGATTTTAGGGGGTTCTCGTGGCCCAGAGGAAGTGTTCGCCTCTCTTTCAAAGGTCCCGGGTTCGAACCCGGGTAGCGACAGAATAATTTTCTTCTCTTAAATTGTCTCGTTTCATCTTCTTTCCTTCTGAACTCTCTTGCAATATTCTGTCGTCCGCTTTCGTCTCCACTTTCTTCCCCTCCCCCCATTGGCTCCTGACTCTTTCTGCAGCCTTTTTACTGCTAGGCTACTCCTTGGCTCCTTCTTACTGCTGTCTTTCAGCCACACCCATGATTTTTTGGTAGGAGAAGGGCGAAAAATCTTGGAGGTCCCGTGTACATGTTGCGCACGTTAAGAGAACCAAAATGGATAGGCTTCGGCTGCCTCCCGTGCAAAATTCAAAATTTCCTACCAATTGAAAATGTTTGGTGTATCCAGCGCGCTCATACGACCTTATGCAGTTGCGAGCACCGTAAAACACTTTCCCCCTCCCCCCCAAAAAAGTTGATTTTGGAGCAAACCCTTGCACACGACATGCAGTGTTTGGTAAAGGCAAATCTGTCAACAATAATAACATGCCTGACTGCATCCCAGCGCCTCCTTTCATTTTGTTATGTTATAAATAGAACAGAAAGCTGTTTACACTTGAATAATTTTGTTGTCACTTAAGTTAAATGAATTTCCAGCAGTGCGTCAATAGAGCTGTTCAACTGCACATTTTTGGAGTACAGTCAGTCAGGCATGTTACTATTGATGACAGATTCATCAATAGCTTTGCCAAAAACTGCATGTATGAAAAGGATTTGCTCGTCTCTGTTTATCTGATACCCCTTTGAAATTTCAATATGTGAGACATGGTGGTGAAATCAGGCGCTCGTCAAAATAATGAAATTGAAGAAAACAACATTTTCCTTCCCGTTTGGCAATTTTTGTCGAATTTTTAAATTTTGACTCAACACCTTTTTTGTTCATTTAAAAATAATTTGTTGTTTGGCTTTTATTGAAAAACATTGATTAAAGGCACATACAATGTAAATTTTAAGTTTTCATGGACTTTCAAGCCTTAGAAGTCACCACACTTTGTCAGTTATTTTCTTTCTTATTTTACCTCTGAAGACAGGTGACCCCCACATCCTTCAATCCAAAATATCTCGAATTCTATTAAAGATAGATGGATAATTTTTTCATTGAAAGCAAGACAAATGAACATGCTTAAAATGATACCCAAAACTCAATATGCCCAAAAATTGACAAGCGCCTGATTCCAGTGCGTCGTGAAACATGATATCTTATATATAAGGTTACTTGTCTTACAAGCCTTGCTGAATCCCCTACCTGAAATCTTGCTTGTGCAATCTCAATGTAAGGGAACTACTCTCACACTGTACATCTGGTGAATGTGTAAGCAAGTCTATTTTCCTTGCTACCTCCTCCCTTTTCAGCGTGCTACCATCTTAATAATATTGAAAGAAACACTTTACCAAAAGAGGCACTGGCTTTGCCCTCCTCTGAATCTAAATCTTTGGATACTTTTCCTGAATCTAAATTGCTGGCTTAAGTAAAATAAGATGAAACAAATTTTATTTTTCCGTCAATGTAAGAAATTTTTGTAGTTTGAAATGGAAAAGCAGAATTTTTGTACCGGTACTTTCTTTTTATTCAGAGTTACATTATTTTGTTTTATCAACTAATTAGTTTTGCCAGGTTCCATTCTCAAGAATTATTTGTGCTACTTTCATACTGCTTTTTGTTTTCTTCAAATATAATATCTTGAAACTTACTTTAACTTTGAGTATTCTAAATGCGTAAGTAATCTATTTTTTTTATATCTTACGCTGACTGCTCTGTCCAGAGCCCAAAAGAATAAACTGATAAAATAATTATTGCTGATCCATTCCTTTCCTTTGCTTCCTATCCAGGTAATAACATGCCATGTCCACTCCAGAAGAAAAATTTCAGCCAGCAGCAGTAACCTCATCATCTTCTTTTCCACCTGTAGACTTAACCATGAATAAGAAGGGTACATACACAGATGCTGGTAAGTTGACAGATGGTGAAAGAGATTGGCTTGTCTACTTATAGAGTTTAAACATATTAAATTTGTTTGTGTAGATTTCTTTTGACCAGTGAAAAGAAGCTTATAAATTAAAACGTTAAAGAGTGATGTTTTATGCTTTTTATTCTCTTAAAAAAATAATTCTGTAGTAGGAGTCATTATTCTGTCATGATAGATGAAAATGTGCTGCATTGGTCTATATTTTGTCCTGTGGCTACTTTTTATGTGGCTAATAGACCAATATGGAAAATGGCGATTGCAGTGAGTGCAGTGCATGGAAAGGATTGATTGCTGCATTCTCTTTGTGTTGTGTTTTGTTACCTGAGAGGTTGTATATAGGGATTGTTTGTACCGCTACATCCTTCTCCTTTATTTTCAGACTTCTCTTACTTCTTTCTGTTATTGGCTGTAGTTCTTTGCAGCATGTTTCCAGGTTTTGAAGTTGACGTCTTTTGAGGTCTTCCCTCTTGCAGGCATCTTTTTCTCTTTGTAGATGTCAATTTCTTTCCGTGGGTGGTTGGCGGGTGCTCTGGTGTGGTTTGCTTCTTCTTTCCTATCAAACATCTATCTACCTGAAGTGTCTTTAGGCCATTCCCAAAGGTTTTTTTAATGCACAGTAGAATTGTTAATTGTAAATGGGCTGATTCATCAATGTCATGCTCATAACTGTGCCTGAACTGCAACAGGGAACTGCTGCTTTTTCTTTCCTTATCCTTACTATTGTCATTTTTCCTCTATTTCTTTTGTGTGTTTGTCACACTCTTGTGACCCGCTATTTCAGGGGTTCCTTGATATTTGAAGCAGGCTTTGTGCTTTGAAAGCTAGAGAGGTGAGCAGAGTAAGTTTGATTCCCTGTTAGGACTTCTCTGTTGACATCCACCCCTTGGCGCTCATATGACCTTTTGCAGTTGCGAGCGCAGAAAAACCTCTACTAAAACAAACATTTCGATATTTTCTGGTCTTCCATAGAGTGAAGATGTTTTATTCATCTGACTCTGCTTTTAGTCAGGGGTGTAAATGCTGAGGGAAACTCCTTATCTTTCCAGCACCTCTGTATTGCTAATCTTATGTTGCTGCATATATTTCTTAGAATCTTTCTAAAGCATCATGAGTGAAACCTCTTGAGCTTTTATCTCTTGTTATGAATATGCTGTCCTGGTCTTACGTACAGCAATATGCTCTGAGTGCACGCTTGGTACATATTCATTTTGGTCTTTATAGTTTGCTTGTGGTCATAATTATTTTGTATTTCATCACCATTAACTTTCTTTACAGGGGAAAAATTAATTTCTCTGTGAAAGAATGCTATGTTCACAACACTCTTGATTACATGATGTTTTTTCTTGTGTGAATGAAGTATTACGCTCAGTGATCATGTGATTGATGTAAAATGCTCAGAGCTTACACTCGTAAGGGATAAAGTGCTATGCGATCCATTATAATTATTATTATTATTACCATTACTTATGCAAACTTTTTCTTGGCGCCCTAATTACACTAAAATGGACATTAATTCTCTTTCTGACTTTAATTCATCTTTTTGTTGAGTTTATTCATGTCTTTCAGTATGGTGTAGATGGTGTCAAATTTACTACTGTGCTTAGATTTAAGGATGGAATCTGAGTTTCTAATTGTTTTGTCCTTAATGGAATTTCTAATTTCATTCTAGTATATGATTAAGTTTTCAAGCGAATCATCTTCTGATATATATCGCTAGCTGCGTAATTCAACCGCCTATGTGCCAAGAGACGAATTTTTCAGGAGAAGCAAAAAACTGTGTTATTTCTTTATGCTCGTACCTATGAATCTAAAAATTCATATATATATGATATAATATGATGTAGGACGATTGTCTGTAACTAACTTTTAAAAAAAAAGAAGCTTTCTTACATAAGTTACTGGACATAGGCGGTGTAGACCTACCAAAATCTGCATGATTCAACTGCCTAAGTGACAGTATGACGGTGTCCAGGCGTTTGAATCTTGTTAATCAACGCCACTCGACGAGCGCCCGTGGTCGCTTGGACGTTCGAGTAATCAGCAAAAGCAAATCATAATAGTTTAAAGAGTAATTATAAAGTTAACAGTAACTGGTTCAGTTAATTGGTTGGGTCTTCTGTGGCAGGACTGTCTTTGGCCTCATGGAGTTGGTAAAAAAGACCATTCATCTTAACCTTCAATTTGTACTGGTTTGTTCAGCATGTTTCAAAGGCAATGAACGTTTGTGACAATGGGGTTGTTTTTGTTTCAGTCAGTTACTGATTGCTGATTGGTCCAGAAATTGAACATTGGGGGGGGGGGGGGAGATATTGTCTTGCTTTCTTAAAAACGTTCAAGATTACCCATGAGCACATAGACCATACCATTTTTCATGGACCTTTCGATTACACTGTGTGTGCTGTCCACTTCCATTTGCGTTTGTTCTTTATCAAGGTATTTGTATTCAACAGTTTTGTTTTTTCTGGTACAAATGTCGCTGGTTGCATTTGACAAGATAGCGTTATGGTCTGATAAGTACAACCATCATTGTATATTTGAAATTGGCATTGTCAGTAGGCTCCTCCAAGAAGTTGCTGACACAAGAAGAGAATTCATTGGCAATAATTGGTCCTTCTCCTTCGTGCAAAACGTGACACTTCACACCTTTTATTACCAAATTTTAAAAAATATAAACAGCTAATTTGGTCCTGTTTTGATATAGTGCAGCAGATGCGTTCAACGCCATACTAACAAATCCACTTTCAAGTCCATGCACACTCGACATAATCTAGTCCCATCCACTGGGTTTTGTGCAAGCTTCTTGTTAGATTCTTTATCCTACCCTGCATACTTCACATTGATCCTTCCGATATACAACAACAGGTTGCTCTTTTTGAATATCTCTGTAAGGTTGTCTTGGACAATGTAAGACTCTTTCCGTTTGCTTTGGTACTCTCTATATAGGCCTCTGAGGCTTTGAAAGTGTTAGTCAAGATAGATGTTGCCTATATTCAATAATATTCTGTCTGTAGTAATGGGAAAGCAATTTCGTCAAGTTTACCGAAGAATAGCTTATCACAAAATTGCTTCTCCTCTTCTGCTCTCTGGTAATTTGACAGTCGTGGAGCTCCCATCTCCAAGTCATGTGAACTGTCTTTACAACAGTCATGAATGACTGCTGTGTTTGGGCAGTTGTATACAAACGCATTGTTTTGCATGTTAGTAGAATGTACGAGATTTGTTTCAAATTGAAGTGTAGAGCTTGAGAGTTGAAGTTTAGGGTTTGTTGAAGAGAGAATTTTCGGGGCAAATATGTTAATGAGTTGCTTTTGTTTCGAGCGACAAGTTAAGTATCATCTACCTGGCACTGATTAACTCATCAATGATTCAGGAATGATACATGACAGAAAGAGCAACGGGTGCACACTGAAAGCAAATTAAGAAACGCAAAAAGCCGCTATGAAAATTTTTCCCAATAGTTGTACCGAATGTGAAATAAACGCCCCTTAGTTGTCAATCATACAGCTTTTGCCACAATATACCAAATTGGTCAAGACAGTATTAACATATTCTTTGATGCCATCTTGCCCTTTCTCAACAACACTACCAAACCTAGTGGTAGATTACGCAAACAGCCTTGACAAAATCTTCTGGCTATCGATAGGGTTCGATCTGAATTGAGGCAAGCAAAGGCAGCACTTTGCTTTGATGTTACCCTCCAGTCTGTTTTGACAAAGGCCACAATCGTGTGGGTTGCACCGCTTATGCGACAGGTGAACACCTCAACAAGCTGCTGAATCTGCCTGATTCAACCGCCCATTCGCCACCGGTCTGCAAAACATCCACTTGAGCTGTTGAGTTCTGTGGAAATTAGGGACTGGTGTAATATAGGCGATTGGTTTACTGAAGGATTACAGTAATCTTTCAAACTCGGGATTTTAACAAAGTTTATCAAAGGCTGTACTACTTAACGGGATCAAAAAGTGATTTTCAAAAATTTTGTCGCATAGGCGGTTGAATCATGCGGCTAGCAATATTTTCTTTGTCTTTTTACTGTTGTGCTTTTTATGCTCTTGCTCGTCACTTCAGTAGCAAACAGACAAGGCAATTAATGTGTAAAAATAATATCTCATTTCATCTGCTAATTCAAAATAAATGAATTAAAAAAAGACTCAGACTTGAATTTATATTTCCCCATGTAACTTATTGCGATGTATCAACAGGGTCACCCAAGCCAGCACAGACTACCCGGGCCAGCATGAAGTACGTCAGCTTGGTGCTGCTGACCTTGCAGAATGCTGTGCTTATCCTTGTCATGCGCTATGTGCGCATCAGAGAGGGCGACATGTTTGTTGCCACCACAGCTGTAATCATGTCCGAGTTGTTTAAATTTTGCACATGTCTACTGATTATCTTCATTCAGGTGTGTTGTTTGCTTCTTTTCTTTAGTTATTTAACTTTTTGTTATAGTATTTTTTGCCTTTTTCGTAGAAGTTCTTGATGTTTGCTGTTCAACAGTACTCAATGTTTTCTGTTCCTCATAACTGCACATGAGATGATGAGAAAATATGTACGGTTGTCAATCATAAAAGGATGGTTTTCCGTTCTTATGAGGTTGGGAGGCTTGACACGACTTGCACTCACTGTAGGATGTTGTCGTTTCTGTACAGTACTATGAAGTAGAAATAATGGTCACATACGTAAAAATCTGACGCATTGCAGATTGAAAAACTAGCAGTTAACTCCCCCCTGAAATCTAGCTGGGTAACGCAAAGACAAAGAAGAAGAAAATTAAAGTACTGTAGTCTCAGTCTGAGAGCACTGTGTGTAGATGCAGGCTTGCCACAAAGTATGTTTTGCAAAAGCAACAACTTTTCTTGCCAGGTGTTTCTTTTGCTAAGTATAGATGTACCAGCAGACAGGTGCTGACTGATTCTTGTATTTGTTTTCAGGAAGGAAGTGTGCAGCGTTGGCTTCAACTTCTGTACCAGGATATCGTCTGTGAACCATTGGATTGCCTCAAAGTCTGTGTGCCGTCCCTTGTATATGTACTGCAAAACAACTTGCTGTATATAGCAGTTTCCAACCTGGACGCAGCCACATTCCAGGTTGGTTTGCTATGTTGTTGTCATGATTAAATTTATTCTGCAGGGTGACACTTTGAAAAAGATATGGCCATTTTGTAAGGATGATCGCAAAGCAGACTCAGGGGTTTAGTTTTCTGGGTTGGCCCTTTAACAAGTGGTAGTTTGTTTAGTAGTACTTGTTGTGGTCATTCACAGATAAATATGATGTAGTTTTTTCCTGTGAGAGGTTTCATTTTATCCTTTCAGTTTGTTTTAAAAAAAAATAGTTATAGGTGAATCTTATGTCTCCAATGTAGATTTGTCTTTCATCGGTTCAAATCAAGAATATGTAGACCTGCATTCTCTGTATCCACACAATGTGATGGTCTGTAGTTACCACTCACATGTAACTAATTAAATTGACCATAATATTTTGTATTGATAGATATATTATATGTATGTGTCATGACCCGCTGGAATCAGGCGCTGGTCAGTTTTGGGGCATATGGAACTATTGGTATTATCTTAAAGCATGTTTATATGTCTTGCTTTCAGTAAAAAAAATTAACCGTCTGTCTTTAATAGAGGTCGAGATATTTGCAATTGAAGGTCAGGGTCGACTGGTTTCAGAGGTAAAAATAGAGAGAAAGTGGTCGCCAAAGTTTGATGAATTTCATAGCTGGAGAGTCCTGGGAAATTGAAAATTTAAATGTTTTTCGCCTTTAATCGTTTTTGTAAATCCACAGAAACATGTTTTTAAATGTGTATGAAAGATGCTTAGCCAAAAAACAAAAATTTGATACAAATTGCCAAACACACGGAAAATTGCCTGTTTCTTCAAGTTCATCATTTTTACGAGTGACTGATTTTACCACACTGCGTCACATATGTTTGTGTCATGCACCATGGCCCAAGGTGAGACCCTTTCAAGGCTGCATGTATGGCCACAGGCGTGCATGTGAAGAGAGCCTTTTTAATACAGCATAATCAGGGGTTACATGTTATGTTATGTCAACATGCCACTTTGCTGAAAGCCAGATCAATTTGTGTGTAATTAAATTTGAGAGGTCGTAATGACCTATTTTCAACATATGTTGCGTGGCATTGTGGTGAAATCTGGCCATCGTCAAAATAATGAAGTTGAAGAAACCGACATTGTTCCGCCCATTGATCAATTCTTATCGAATTTTAAAGAAAATTACTTTTGGGGGGGGGGGGGGGGTGGGACCAAGCACCTTTTATGTCCATTTAAAAACCCATTTGTGTATTGATTTTCCTGATAAATATTGATCAAAGACACAAAAAATGTTTCCGAGGACACTCAAACTTTGGAAGTTGCCAAACTGTGGTGGCCATTTTCTCGCTAATGTTACCTCTGTTACCAGGCGTCCCCTTCCTCCTTTAATTGCAAATAATTTGACTTATATTCATAATAGATAGGTATTTTTTACCATCAAAAGCAGGGCAAATGAAGAGGCATTAAGATTATACCAATACTCCATATGTCAAAAAATTGAAGAGGACTTGATTCCGCTGTGTCATGACACATTTGGATTTTTATTTTGATGGAGACTATGAGCAGACGGACTCTGGGGTGGATCCTGAAGGGGGGGGGGGGGGGGGGGGGGGATGGACATGTTCCGACTGCAGTGACCCCAACACAGTGGACAAGTAAGACCTTTGGATTTTGGTGCTATTTGTAGTTTTTTGTTTATGTTATCTATTTGATTATTTTCCTCCCAACCTAAAAACTATTATAATTATTTTATTTGCTCACAGCGCCGAAAACTGGCCGAAATCGTGCCTCTTAGTTTCCCAGGCCAGCGACACCTGGAAGTCATTAAATCACCGTCGGAACCGCTCCGTGCCGGGTTACGCGGGGGTCACTGGCCGCTCCGTAGCGCATCAGCTACGGGCGGGCAGGTCATGGCGTAATCCACACTTTTGACACTAATTATCTGCAGTATCCTCACTCTAACCACGAATTATTCCATACTATGAGAAAAGAACAAGATTCCCCCTCTCAGTCTGCGAAAGCCCGATCTCAATGCGACGATATGTGCCGATGTTACAGTGTGTGCAAAATGTTTTGAATTTCATCGAATTTAATATGCGTGTGCTGCACTTAATTCACTTTTAATTTCCAAAGTGCTCGCTCAATCTCAACAAATTTTGGTACATGCACTGATGACATATTTGTGCTTTACGTGTATAATTTTCATCATTGTTTGAAGCAATATTAAGTCGCTTACATCTGATTCTCATCCAGTGCCTTGTTAATTGACCCGTCGAATTGTGTATTCTGGATTCTATGCTGTTTTAAGTTCAACACTTCTCCGTTAATTTCATAGATTGTTAGTTCTATGAAAGGCAGACATATGTGTGCTTAATGTGTATAAATTTCATCTTCGTTGATTGAGCCGTGTTACGATATGAGGTAGAATCCATCTGCCCGGGATTAATTTCTAACAGGTTTACTGAAATCTCCCAATGGAACACACACACGTGAAACATTCCTCCTCCCTGAATGAACTTTATCGCGTTTGCGGGTGTAAGGACATGACTTAAGTCCAAACATTGTTGACAAAGCGCACTCTATAGGTTTGATTTTCGACTCTCTCAACCAAGCATACAGTCAAATTCATAATGACATCTCACAGAGTGCACCTATTCAGAAAACCTTTATTCCAGGAATTCAGACAGCAATAGACATGTACATGAAGCTGTACAGAAGACATTTTCCCAAAAAGAAAATCCACAAACAGCGCAATTTAGAACAACACTGCATTCCATCCATAACACAACACAGATTTGGCTTGGGCCCGCTGGGAGAAAAGGAACCGAAAGCTGCTACCAGTGTATTTTAAAAATTGAAAAGTGGATTCAAGGCATCGTAAACAATACGGAAAAACTACGATACTTTATGAACCAGAGAGCATCTTCACTGCAGGCACCGAGAAAACAACCACGGCGCCATATATCTACTGTACAAAATGTGTAAAGAGATCTGTGTCATTAATTTAATGAAGGATACTGTAATGAGAATTTCATCACAAGCCCAACGAATTTGGCTGTTGAACGAAAATGCAAAAATGTGGATTACTAATCTTCCAACAACGATTTCCTTTAGTAAGTAGATACCCACATTAATTGTCTTTATTCTGAGCAAGTTTTAGTGAATTTATTCCCGCACTTTGGTAGTTACATAACTTTTAACTCGGTGCATATTACCTTAATTGGCACATATAAGACGGCTGTATTTGATCACATGCAGTTAAAAAACTATCCTAGATATCTTTGTTGCGTTTTCACAAACTGTACATTGAAAGAAGAAACTCAAAGATGGAACACTATGTGTATATTGACAGCCCTGCTTTCATTCGTGAGCGTTGAAACAGAACTGTAAAATTGCCGTGGTATGTAACCCCGTGCGTGGAGTGAGTGGAGGTAGACTGACCGGCAGCTGACCCAGGTCACGCTGACCTAGCAGCGTACGGCCTGGCGAAACTAAACGACCGCTGATTCGACGCTGTGTACTTTTCATTCATATTAACAAACAATCATTCTCTGCTTCCCAGGTGACATACCAGCTGAAGATCCTCACTACTGCCATCTTTTCGGTGGCCATGTTGAAAAAGCAGCTGAGCCGCTTCCAGTGGTTCTCTTTGGTCATCCTATTTGTGGGCGTGGCCATTGTGCAGATGCAGCCAGAGAATACAGGCAGTAAAACTAAAGTGGCAACAGAACAGAGCCCAATTAAAGGACTGGTGGCAGTGATCATCTCTTGCTTTATGTCAGGTTTCGCAGGCGTTTACTTTGAGAAAATTCTCAAGGGCACTCGACAGTCTGTTTGGTTGCGCAACATTCAGCTGGGAGCGCTGGGTGCGGTCATTGGGCTGGTCACCATGTACGTCAAGGACGGGGCCACAGTGCAGGAGAAGGGTTTCTTCAATGGCTACGACTTGGTGGTGTGGTTTGTTGTCTGTCTCCAGTCTTTCGGTGGACTGCTGGTTGCTGTGGTTGTCAAGTATGCAGACAACATCCTCAAGGGTTTCGCTACCTCAGCAGCCATTATTCTTTCGTGTGTGGCCTCCATGTACTTCTTTGAATTCCAGCTCTCTCTACAGTTCACCGTTGGAGCAGCCATGGTGATGTTGGCTGTGTACGTGTACAGTAAGTATGTGCCAACTCAACAGAACCCGCCTTTGCTAAATGCCCCTGGGAGAAAAGTGTGACTGTCAAAGAAGACAAGGATGTAGGAAATCTTTAGGACCTTCTAGCATTACTGAATTTGTGCTGTTGATGTACAAGGATAATTAGACAAATATTATTAAACCAAAAGTGTATGGTTGTTCCCTTTGCAAAGATGTGATTTATGGAGTATACATTTTCATGTTCTTTTGGACTCAGTGATTAGTTGCAAGTGATTGTGTGCCTCATAATCATTTGTTTTGTGCAAACTGATGATTGTTTTACTGATAAGTTTAAAGCTGAAGATGGATAGAAAGAGAAGAATGAATTAATGTCATGATTGATATGATAACTTATTATGAAAGTTATGGGATTCTGAAGGGTCCCGAAACATGTTTTCTCTTTATTCGCCGATGATAAAAAGGGACAAATTTGTTGTTGTATGTGTGTTTATAGCTTTTCATTTCTTCAGTATAAGAAATTTGATTTGCTGTATGTATACCAAAAACTTACAGCTTGCAATGTTATGCAGTTATAAACTGCAAATATTGCTGGCAATGTCCAGTTCAAGGACACACCCCGGTAACTGACAATTCGAAAGCTATTGTCACTCTTTGTTGCTCAACAATTCTTATTTCAGTATCTCCTTCAGGGAGCAATTCTTGTGAACTAACATGACTTACCATGAGCAGTTTTTATGAATCAATATCACTTGCCACTCAACTGCTGAGGCCCAAATTACGGAGTGTGCAAAGTGAATCCAAATGGAAAAAGGGCTGGAAGGATGTCGAGTCTTGGAAAAACTTTTTGAGACTTGCCAGAACATGGTGTTTCCTTCACTTAAACTTGTAATTTTATAATAGAATTATATAATGGTAGATTCAGTCACATTTCTTAGCGTGCATCTGTAGTATGCCATGACATGTTTTGTTCTCAAGTACATGTACTGTAGTTGTGCTGCTGTTTGATTCTTGTATTTCATCCAGCACTGGGCCGCAGATTCTCTGCCTTATTTTCTTGGTTCATCAAAATGATTTATGTTGATAGTTTGTAATGAACATGGTGATATTCCTTTTTGTTAATATTTGATCAATGCTGTGGGAACCTTTTGTAAAAAAAATTGTTAAAAGTTTGTTGTGCATTATTTGAATGTTTAATGTAATTTTTATTCTTACCATTCTAAAGTATTACCAAGAACCATGTATTTTACCTTTTGCCATATATTATTAATGCAGTTCCTAAGTTATAGAATTATTTCTGCGGATCCTAGATCATAGCTTTCTATTTTCCAGTCATTGCCAAGTGTCTCTACAGTTGCTTAATTATATTGGGTTTTTTTCTTTTAGAAGATGCAATCAATACTAATTGTCTTGTTAGGGATTTTTTGCTTGTGGTTCAATATTTTGTTTGCCCAGGTTATGATTATAAATTATGTACATAATCATCTTCTTTTTTGCCCTCTTTTTTTTTGTTTTGTTAAAAAAAACAAAAAACAAATAGGTACTTGTGGTCAATGGCCTCAGGTATAGAGGCTCATAGATTCTGAAAGTAGTGTGTTTATGATGTGGGTGTATGCCTTTTCTTCCACCTTGTATGTTTGTTATGGATGTCTTGAAGTTTTGAAGGCTGTGCATCAGAACACAATGTGACTTCTGTGACTTCATTTGTGAATGTGATACCCAATTGAGTATCCAGAAGATCCTTTTTAGAATTGAACTGAAACAGACTGATTGTGTGAAAAAGTGATTTAAACGAATGAAAGTTATTTTGAATATGCTTTTTTGATAATATGCAAGTACTTAAACAGTTTGAGTACTTTTTCATTTTGTTGTGTACGCATAGAGCTGGTCTACCGTAGCATAATTAGCTACAAACCTGTTGATTTATGTGGAAAGTGGAGGCTCTAGACTCGAGCTCTGGTCAGGTTTGTGGGATTTTAATTTCTCTCGTTATTCAGGGATTGTAATTTACTTTGGTCTAGGTGTCCTGATGTGGCACCTAGTTAACTAGTATTGAAATGATAATAAAAATATTAATATAGCATATTTGTATAACACAAGTTTCTGCTGAACAGCAAATCTGATATGCTTTATTGTTTATAGTATTACCCTAGCTTTCTTAAACAATTTGAACTTCCTGGGAAGCATACAAATGATTTACATATATGTCAAGTCAGATGTTCTACTAAAAGAAATAAAGACAAAAGCTTATTCATTTGTTGTAATTCTGGTTTAATGAAGCAGACCTTCTGGTTCATCAGTCTGTGCCCTCCCACTTGAGGGGACATGTTTCACTGTTCCATGGTTTTGAGTGTACATAGAAAAGGGAAGTCTATCAAGTATCTACATTCGATATATTTCCCCCTTTTTTCATAGCAACTTACCCTTTCATTTTGTCTGTGGTTACAGAATACTGGTTTTCTGTACATGAAGTTACTTCTTCGTATCAGCTGCAAGGGTGTTCATTTTTCTTGTAGAACTACTTTTTGTTGGTAGTGTGGTTGTGTTTTAAGGGTATTTCGTAATAATTGCCGGTTTTCCCATCTGTATTGTCACCTTTTCATCTTTCCTTTAAGACAATCAAATCTCTGTTTGCTGAAAACTATGGGACCTTGACTAGCCTTGTATCTTCATAAGATTAACATTGTAAACTGGTCTTCATAAATCAGCATGATTTACCTATTTTGAAATCATGTTCTTAGGCTCTAATCCAGACACTCACAAGTGTAATGGGACAATGTCTGTTTCATTATTGTTCAAGCTTGGAGGACCTGCCCAGTCAGATGGGGAGTTCATGGGGAGTTTTGGTCAGGTTTAGTAGGCCTCTTAATTGAGTAAATATACTTCATCAGACTTTGTCTTTGATGTATTTGTCTCCATTTGGTCACAAGGAGTGTAATTAATGTAATGTTTTCTCGACTCTGATGATAGTATGACTGTTTTTGCTTAATTTAAGTAATTGTGGTTATTATAAAAGTGAAGTGCATGGTGGATACTTGGTTAGGGTAAAACACTTCTTTACAATTTTTTTGAAAAAACGTGACACTGTTCCATGCCCTACCATATGTACGCAGATACACAACTTTTCAAGTCTGCAAGACCCAACAATATTCAATCTCTGTTAAAAGACACCTCAGATGTTTTGAATCTGTAAAAGCATGGATGACTGAAAATAAATTGAAATTAAATGATGACAAAACAGAAATAAAGCCATGCTCAACCAGCTCAAGGATAAATGCTCTTGATGTAGAATGTCTCACCATTGGCAAAGGTACTGTCGCTTTTTCAAACAAAGCAAAAAATCCTGGAGTATACTTAGACAAAGACTTGTCTATGGAGACCCAACTTAACCATCTATGTAAAATTTCATACTTAGAAATGAGAAGAAATGCTCACATAAGGAAATGTCTTAGCACTGATGCCACCAAAAAACTAGTGTTTGCCTTCATTTTGTCACGCATTGATTATTGCAATTCACTACTCTTCGCTGGCCTACCTGAAAAAAAAATTGCAAAACTCCAACGCATTCAAAACAATGCTGCCAGGCTAGTATTAAAGCAATCAAAACGGCATCATGTGACTCCCCTCCTTTTAAAGAGCTCCATTGGCTTCCACTGAAAGCGAGAATCGAATATAAGTTAACCCTACTATGCTTCAAAGGTCAAACTAACCAGTCTCCCATGTACATTCAAGAACTCATTGGACCATACACACCATCACGTGAACTAAGATCCAGTGGCTCCAGACTAATTTCAACACCTCGTGTGTCACTGAAGAAATATGGTGAGAGAGCTTTTTCTGGGACAACAGTTTGGAACACACCCTAATGATTTGAAGACCAAAATTAAACTTGATACCTTCAAAAGGGGACTCAAAACACATCTATTTAAGAAATATTTTAATTAATGGACAGTACCTTGCCTTTTTGTATGAGCATTTTTTATTGTCTGAAAGAATGTTGCTGTCAAAATGTGCGCACATGATGAATTTGTATGGTGTTATTATCAATGCGTTTTAGTCTCCTATGTACGCCTTGGGCCCATGTTGTGGGGAAAGGCGGGATACATATGCTCTTTTTATTGTTATTATGTTTGATCTCCCCTAACCAGAATTCTGCATTAACTATCCTTTTAAAACTTTATACACAAGGATGATTTCCTGTCATGGTTGGATCTGTTAAATTTATGCCTGTGAAGCTATAAAGCAAAATTGCTATTTGTGTAAAGCTCTGAGAAAACTCGTCAGAAGGTTACAATGTCACATTTGAAACTGGAGTATTTTTACTTTCAAAAGTTTCATATTGCTTGCATATTTTTACAAGTTATCTGAGTGCAATCGGTGCATACCATTCTGTACATAATTAAAGCTCTTCAAAGTTCAAAATGAGGGTCTGAAGAATGAGTTTGTAAAAAATGATAAAACAAAATATTTCATGATGAGTTAAATGAAGTGATGTGGATCTTGTCTTTTTTCTGATATGACACAATTCATTTGCACTGGGTTTCCCAAGAAATTTAGTAAAATGAAAGTGTCTGGAGGGCGCCACTGGTAGGTCCTACATCTTTTCTTTCCCTGTGTTGTTTCTGTCTTTATGTCTTGCTTCTTTCTTGAACTATATGACTGTTACTGCGTTAATATGCTTCTTTCTACTCAAACTAAAACTCAAGATAGAAAAATTCCCCTTTGTTTCATGTTGCAGTAGAGGGGTGGCATAAAAATATGTGCCCTTCAACAGAAATAAATAGTATAGGATTTTAGCAGAGACTTATCCACTATGCAGCCTCAAATGGTGTTTTAGAAAATATTTAAAATTGTATTCAAACGAAATACCTCTAAATGAGGGTTAAGAAATGATCCATTTTCCATATTTCACTCAAACTTATTTGAGGTAGAAAACTAGTTTTTAATCTATTTGAACCATATCTCCTCAACGTTCCAACATGATTTCTCAGACTCGCACCAGTTTCATGATTCTATCAGTTGCTCGTTTTGTTATTAAACAAGTTCTTAGTCCACTTGTAACCAGGGCTAATCTCTTCACAATTCTGTTGCTGCTGCTTGAAAAGTGTCTAAACATTCTGTGGTTTTGACACTTATGTATGGTTGAAATGATATCCAAGTGCTATGTTTACTGACCAGATCACGAATTATGTTCATGTTATTCATATTTATTTCCATAAATAAGTATGTGCATGACTTTGTACTTCATATTCATATGATCTTTTCGCAAGAGACATTGGTTGATTTTATTGTTATTGTGGATCTGATTTTGTGAAGACATCACTAATTGTTGGGAGATATTATTCTGTGTACAGTTCAATAACATCAGTGAGATAATCTTATTCCAGTGCCATGTTTTGTATCCAGGAGATGGCTTGTCTTAATTGATTAATGGAAGGCCCATTAGTTAGGTGCTGTCTTTGAAAATGAAATTGTCTTGATTTTTTAGCCCATTGCAATACTGTGGGGTAATTTAAGAGGCAGGACATCCAAATTTAAAGTCCCTCTCCGATAAGACAAAACCAAACGGGGACAATTTGTGTAAAGTGCCTTTCCAAAAAGTCGTACCAAGCTGAGCCTTGTATTACCCCAAACCTGTAATCTCATGATTATGGGTCAGGTAGTTTAACCACTACACCACTGACACTTTCTGTTGCTGTCTCAAGTAAAAAAAATAAATGGTGTTAAGATCCATTTTTACCACTTGTGTCAGACTTATGAAGTGCATAGGGTCTTAAATACAGTTGAATGGGAAATAAGTGTCTGTGCTATAGTATGTATATATAACATGTTGAAGGTATGGGCAGTTGTATTTTCTAGAGCACATGTATTAATGAAACAGAAACTTTTGTGTGATCTGTTTTGTTGGTTGGCGAGTTTCAATTCATTCTTCAGGCAGACACTCAAGATTACTTTGGATAGAATCACGAGAACGGGCTTTCAACATGGGGGCCACCATTTGTATTAAATACCGTTCGTACACTGCTTGCCAGGTCTTTTCTCAAGACTAATGCCGAACATGAATATGCCAAATAGCAGAACATAATACCTCTAATATCATTACATGATCTGTGATAAGTGTTGGTTTAATCGGAGTAAAGTCCTCAAGCCCCTCCCCCTCCCTCTCTTCCTCCCCTCAATCCACCTTGCTTCCTCAGTCTGAATTGTGCAAAAATTTTAATTCATTAAAAAAAAAAATGACTTGTTCTTGGGAGTAAAGTTGTTTTAATATGGCAGTTTTAATTGCTCTCTGCAGCTTTTAGCATCTGTAGAATTGTGTGAAATTTCCCCCTTTTTGCATGAAGCTGAGTGCAGTGAATTTTAAAATAGAAGTCCCAGTTGTTATTGTATATCAAATCAGAGGAAAGATGCCATGACTTGTACTTTTGAACCAAACTGGTGACTGATGAAGAGTGTGGTAGGTTTTTGTGCATCATCAGGGTATTTATATGCCTGTCTGCTTCACAGACAGTCATTGTCTTTGTAGTAAATCCAACTGCCGGTTATTTTCTTCCTTTGACGCTATGCCGTGGTACACAGAGTAGAAGTCTTTACATACATTAAAATATGTTCCCCCCCATGACTCCAATAGTCTTAACATCATTTTTTATGTTCTTGAGAAGAAGTAATATTGATATGCCCGTTTCTGCCAGTGGCATTAATGGACTGATACACAGAAGTAAAAAATTCACAAATCTTAAGTACAAATCTTCTGAAAATACTACATCTTATAGTGCTTTGTAATTTAATCTGCATGTGTTCTTAGTTGCCACATTTGATAGCCTTTTTCTTTTTTCTGGCCCCTTGCCCATTCGTATCAAATTGACAACAAAAATCTGATTAGTATCAAAAGGTGCAAATTATATTATTTACTATGGCACATATGTTTATTGTGAAATGTTATCTAATTTGTGATGATTTGTAAATCTTTTTCTAGGAAAGTTTTTCTTTCTAGATGGAATGTCCGAGATCCTTCGCTTCTAAAGACAATAGTGAAGGCAGTAAATATTCAATTACTATGCATGCATTAAAATTGTGCAATTAGTATATGATGATACCAGCAATCACAATCCAAACGTAACAGTTAGACATGTAATGACCTTGAAAATTAACTGTTGAGTAACGGTAAAAAGGGTATTGATCAGATGCATGTTTAGGAGCTGGAAGCAGTGTTGACTTTCAGGATGTTGGGAAGGATGTGTGATAATG